CCCCCCCCCCAGTTCACGGCACCGTTCATACTGCCTCACCTTGGTCGATGAGCGGTGACCTTCCCTGGAAGTTGAGCAAACCGTTTCCGATTCCGTGCACCAATGTCACGCCCTTCGCTCGCTGGAGGCGGCTGGATTTTCTCCGTCTGTCGTTTGGGGCCTCGCCTGTCCCTGCCGTGCTGCGCTTCGGCGCCGTGGCGACCGTTTCGCTGATTTGGTCCGCCTCCGCCCCGCGTCTTGGCGGGTGGGCCGGAATCACAGGAAAGTCGCCATTAAAAAAGACTTAGACTGAAGTTGTTTCGCTATTGTTCGTTTCCGGAATACGGCTGACTCGCCCCCGACCCCTTGCAGTTAGACTGTACCGCATGCACGCGCGCGGGCGGGTTGCCTAGTCGATGAGCCTATGCCCTGAGCCGCAATAAGCAAAGCCCGCCCGCACTGTACAGTACACAGATAATTTCGAATGAAAGACAATTGTTGCTGCATATGTTGACGAAATAAACGTGAAGTTTTTGTTTAAAACGCTCTGTTAACATGCAGGTTGAGTCGAGGGAGAGCCGGCCGGCGCCAGTGGTGGAGCAAAAATAGTTCTCTTATTTAATTGCACTTTTACCCGGGCAACAAAAACCAGGCGCGGGATGCAGGGATACTTTAAAGATGGAGAAATAGCAGCAACTGTGGCACTCAAAACTTAAGTTGTCACTTCTGAATTGTTTCCGGCGCTCAAATGCAACACTGTTCAGCAGTAAATAGTAATGTAAAAAGTCCTGTAAATAGTACTGTATGCTTCTCGCGGTATGGTCCCCTTCACTGGACGCGGCGGGCCGCGGCCGCGTCAAGGCTCTTGACCCGCGGCGATGCGCTTTGAGAGTGGGAACGGAACTGGACTGCTTAGTCACCCTTTGTTATGGGTTCCGCCTTAACGCCCCGTCGCGCCCCGCCGTACCCCGCCATGCCGTACCCCGCCCCGCCGTACCCCGCCCCGCCGTACCCCGCCCCGCCGTACCCCGCCCCGCCGTACCCCGCCCCGCCGTACCCCGCCCCGCCGTACCCCGCCCCGCCGTACCCCGCCCCGCCCAACCGTTGGCGTTGAAGGCTGCTGCGCCAGGGCCCAGCAGGCGCTTCGTTGCATTCCGCGTCCTAATAGGCCCTGCAGCAGCCTGCAGCCCGCCGGACAAGTCGCTGCCGCCGCGTCCCTCCGAACAATAATGGCCTGTAGCCCGTGTCCTGTTTGCTCGGACAATGACGGCCTGGAGCCCACTGGAACCCACTGGAGCTGGCTCGGGCCTCCAGGCCTCCAGCAGCGGCGGGCGACATCCCTGCGCTGCTGGAGGCGTGCTGGAGCGGGCGCTCCCAGCCCTGGGCGGGTCCTTTGTCGTGGCTCCAGCATGGCTCCAGGCCGTCCCCGTGCTGTTGTTGTTATTGGCTGTTTGTTCCAGCGGCTGGTAAAGAAGCTCCTCCAGTTTCTGCTGAGGAGAACAAAGGTGTGCGCGCCCGCGGCGTTTGGCTCGCGGGGCCTGGCGGGCGCCTACCGACCTGTGGCGTTTTGTTGTTTAGGCCACTAGGCCAGGCAGGCGCGGCCAGGCCGCCTATTGCGCAGCGGGTGACGACCTTCCCGCCCGCGGCTGCCGCACGCGGCGCGGCGTTGTTGGCAAGCAAGGTGTGACGCGACTGGTCCAGCAGGCGGCCGCAGGCAACATCCTGCGGCGGGCGGCGACGAGCGCTCATCTCTCTTTCCGGCCGGAGGCTGACAATAACAGGCCAGTGTTTCGCCTCCTGCCCGGACCCCTCCGGCCCCGCGCCACCGAGGCCGTGAGTGCGCAAAACTGCACTAATGACGAAACGTTGTCGCAAACGGACGCCGCGGAGCGCGCGCTCGTGTCGAAAAAGTCCTGCGCCGCCGGCGTGGCCGGTTTCTTTCTGTTTTTTCTGTCTACTCTTTCGTGGTGTTTATCCAGGAATAGATACAGCAGCGGCTTCCTCTCCTCTCGGAAGGGGCTATGGCCTGGCTCTGGCCTCATTAGCGCCCTTTGCGGGGCCCCTGCTGGCCAGCGCTCCCTACTGGACCTGGACTCCCCCCCCCCTTTTTCCTCTTCCACCTGCGATCCAATGTGCAGATTGTTCTGCCGCAGAGCATAACAGAGCCCTGCTGCAGCAGGGCTGCCAGCCCGCCAATACCGGCATAAATCTTGGGCGTCCTTTTATTTCTTGTCTTCTGTTTACTCCTTGGCGTGGCGTGGCGTGGCGGGGCGTGCGTGCGCTCTCCGGCCGGACCGCCTGGTCCAGAGTGGTGCTGCTCGGCCCCTCTAGTTGGTGCTGCAGCCCACGGCGGGCCCTGTAGCGGGCGCGTCGTTAATTGTCCTCACGCCGAGGCCAAGCTTTACGGCGGCCCTGCCTGATCGTTCGTTAGAGTGGATGAGATAAATGAAAGGGTCCATCATCCTGTGCCGTG